CTTGTGGAGTAGCGTAGCTACAGAGGATTTTATTTTTATTTTGTGTCTCTCTGCCCTTTACAATTCTAATCCTCGGTAGTTATAGCACTGGCCTCGGAGAGAGCTCACTTGTGCCGAGGCCTGAGGGTGCTGTTTCATTTTTTAATATCTTGAATCGGCACCAGCCTTGGCTACGATATGCACGACAACCAAACAATTATTCTTAAGAAGAAAATGACAAGGTATTATATTTTAATCATCGTATGTAAAATAATCATCAGTGAACAAGTGCTGCTTCAATGTGAGATTGAGGGGGAAACGAGAATAGATCAGTGAAATTCTTCTTGCGCTTCATAACTTTTCCGAGAATATATGTTTCAGTTTTCTACTCAACTAAAACTCGATAGAATTACCATGAACAACTTGATAAAACAGGGCACTACGATGAGTAATGAAAGTAGCAATAAAAGTGTTGGCAGTAACATCGAACAAGCCCAAATCTTCCTCCTTGTTGGCTGTGCAGTTTGATTATTAACTTCAACAAGCTCTGGCATTTCTTTCTTTTTCAAGGAATTTGGTTTTTTGCTGGTTTCATGATTATCTGTGTCATCGTTGAGGCTTTTTGCCGTTGTTGGAATCGCCAAAATCTTCAGTTTTGTTGCTTCTATCTTCCTCAACAATCTTCTCTTTGATTTTTTCGTGAGCGGAAGATTCTCAAAACCCTATTTTTTATAGAGTTTAAATTTTATAATCATCGGTGATCAAGAAAACTTCTTTAAAAAAATCAGAAGTTACTGTTTGAGATTGTCTTGTTTACCTTGATGTATTAGTATTTTTATTTTTATTTTCTTAACTAGTATATAAGCAATCTTAGAGCTGTAATAGAGTTTTTATTGAAGATTATAGACATTTTATAACATCTCATAGATTTTCTCCAACTTATCATCAGTGTTAGGCCTGTAACTTTAAATTTGAGGCTAGATTCTATTCATGCTTTACATCGCGTCAGCTATACATCGCGTCACTAGATTATTCTGAACTTTGCAGGTTTACTTACTTCCGGTGGCAATGCCTCTATTGAATCCTCTAACTCTTCAATTTTGGTACTTCAATCTTCCTCCACAATCTTACCTTTCGATTCCAAACTTTGCGTGTTTATCATGATGTTCTTGAGTTCCGGTGACAATACCTCCATTGACTTTGCTGGCCAAATTACCTCAGCATTGGTCTCAGCGGAAGTGCTTCCTGTTTCTTCTAAACTCTCGTCACCTTCGTCCATGACATATTCTTCACTGCTATCCTCCTCCTCCTCCTCCTCCTCATCTTCAACCCAAAGCATTGCTACAGTCGTCTCAGCAGTCATCTTTTCAGCGCCAACTGCCTCTTCCCCCATAACATATTCTTCGCTGGAGTATCCCTCCTCATCTTCTTCAACCAGATTCACTGATTTCGTTTCTTCTTCCATAATCCTTTCAGTATCTAGTTCCTCTTCCAGCCTCTTAATTTCAATTCTTTCCAACCATGACGAGTTATCTTCGGAATCATTCTTGATATTGCCTACCACTTCATTCCTCGACTCGCTATCAAGTGCTAGCAAGGGAAGTTCTTCCATGGCACAACAAACATCAAATGATGTAATAATAATTTCTTGTCTTGTATCATCAGTGAGGAGGAACTCTTGATCATCTCCAGTGAAATTATCATTTTCGTCATTGATCATAGAGGCAGAATTCTCCTCCTGAACCAAATTTAACAAGGTGTTAGTAATACATAATTATTCCAAGCTAGTTTTGAACTCCCTTTCAGCATCATGACAAGATCGTGACATCATATAGATATAGACCCTAACGGATCCTTCATCTATGTGAAAGGATATTTAATGTTGGAAAAATTATCAATGATAACCAAAATCAATCTCTCAGTACAGACCAGTTCAATAGAATCAACCTGGATTTCTTCCGCAGCCATCCCTGTAGATCCATCTGTCAAACTGCAAATTAAGAAGCCATTCTCTTAATTCTAAGTATTGCTAACACAAACACACATATAACAGTGTCTTAATGCTGACCACGGATTCTGATGGGAAGCGGAGGACGGATTTTCAAGGGTAAAACACAGGCCTCGACTGCCTTTGGCTTCTTTTTTGCACGATAAGTCCTCCTTATCGGCGTCTCTTCTTCTCCTTCTTTTGACGGAAAAAGCAGCAGCAATCAAAATAGTAACAACGAATACTCCACCCAACACAACCGTTCCTCCAATATCTACGGTTATTTGTGCCTTGTTTTTCCTTTGCTTAGAAGGGCATTCAAGCTTCTCCATTGTTATCGTTGGGTTAAGTTGTGTTGCTGGTTATGATCGTGTTGGAAGTTTGGCTTGGGTTTTAACGAATCCAAATGATTCCAAACTTGATATATGAGGAGAGAGATACCGGGGAGAAAATAACTATTTTACCTCTACAAGCAACCTAAATCGGAGGGAAGAGGGAAATAGCAGGTTTCAACCTAAATCTGTTTTTTCCCTTTGTTTCTTGAATTTAACCTGGTTTCTGAGTTGGTTGGGTGCCCCGCGCGAGTTTGAAACTTGGAGAGAAGAGGGAAACAGCAGGGTTTCAACAATTCGAGTTCATAGACCATTTCTTAATTCTCTGTTATTGGAACGCACCGCTTCATGGAGTCACCATGCAACGTTTAATTGTCTTGGAACAGTACTGTAACTTCTTGAAAGTTATTATTTGGTAGTATAGTAGGAATATCACACGCGCGCGCGCACACCTGTAATTACATTTGTCAGGGCATGGAAATATTATGAAATGTTGCAATAGCGCGGTGCCTCGACTTCAGGAACCGCACACTCTATCTTCGCTAAAATTCCATTGACACTGCTGGAGAATATGCAGGTTGTTGCAGATTATCTAACATATGAGTTTTATTTTAAAATTATTTAGATTTAAAAAATAAAAATAAAAATTTTATAAATAATAAATATTAAAGGATTCAATTAAAAATAAAAAAATTATAAAGTCTAATTAAAAAAAATCAAAGGATTCAAATGAAAAAAAATAAAAATTAATTTAAAAAAATTTTCAAATTAGAAGAAAACACCAGACATCCAAGCTTGTGGCCCAACACCAATGGGCCTTAAAAAACATAAGCGCACGTTGCTGGGTCTCATTTTTTTTTTCCTTTTTTAAGTTGTGCACCCCTCTTTTTAAAAAAAACAAACTGCACGCGACATTTTTATTGTTTAAGATTCTAGCCACCACATCTGATTGGAAAGGCAGGCAATCACCTCTCAGGGGTAAAAAACATATTTTCATCTATTTTTATTATAAAAACCAAATAAACACTTTAAGAACCTAAAAAAACTCATTTTGGTATTGAATCAACATTTAAAATTAAACTAAATCCAAAAAAATATACATCAAAGTCAGATTTTTTTTAACAATTAAAAAAAAGGATCTAAATAGAACTCTTATTACTAAATAAAAAACTTATCTACATTAAAATCAGCGAGTTTTATCGTTAAAAAATAATTATTTATCAATTCTTTCTTTCTTATTTTTTTTTTCCAACAACTCTCTTTTCTTTCTCAAATTCATAAATTGAAATGTGATCAAACTAAGGTTTCAAACCAAACTATTTAATTTACAAATTAAAGGGACCAAATTTTTTTTAACAAAATCTCAAAAGAAAAAGGCAATGTTGACACAAAAGTTATCTAAAAGAAATGCCTCTTTTCTTCTACTACTACTACTTCTTCTTTTTCTTGTTTTTTTTTTTCCTTCCAATCTTGGTCTTTTCCTTTTTAGTGCCTTTCAAACAATAAAAATGTACTCTTTTTATAAAATGATACCATCAACCCAGTAAAAAATATTTTTTTGAATGCAAGATAATCATATAAGAAATACATCAAAATAAATAATTGATCAAAAACTTCAACCAACACAATATCAAAGAAACAAATTGAAAAAAAAATTAATGATAAAAAAAAAAGATCAGAATTGACATCATATTTCTCTTAAAAATAAAAGGCTTGCCATTATTTATTTGCTTTAATTTTGGTTCTTTTATTTTTAATTTTTTGCAAACAACAAATTCATTTTTAAAAAAATTGATTATCAATTTGATCCTGAATATGTTTTGAACGATGAAATTAAGAGGAAAAAATAATAACTAGAGTGAAAACAAAAGACAGAATAAGAAAAATATAATGGGAAGGCGCAGTGATTTGCCTCACAAGGCAAGGTAATTTATTTAATTTGTAGTATGCATAATTGTGATGACCAAACACAACATCTTAAGACTTTTGCATGGCCATCCCGAAATAAATTGCCTAGCTCCGTTACTTCTGGTAAAGCATATACTAACGGAGAAGATAAGCGGATGTAGAGACCCTGATAAAACAACCCCAACATTATTATTATTATTATTATTATTCATTGAAAAACATCGTCAACCTTAAAAATAATCTACTTAAATCACTCCTCAACTATCTAATATTATATTAATATTCTATTTTAACTATAAAAAATCTAAAAGACTTAAATTAAGCCGAGAAGAAATATGAAGTCTTAGAATACAAAAATCCTTAAATTATATCATAATTATATGATAATTAATTTATTATAACTATCAAAATTTATATATAATTATTTGAAAATCAAGTGCATTTATATTCAAGAAACATTTAAATTTATTCATTCGTAAATAATTCTAAACAACTTATCAAAACATAGAAAATAAATAATATAAATTAATTAAACAATAAATTTACGAAGCACATGCCAAGTAACTTAGTATTTATAAACGCACACATTGAAATGGAAAAATGATAAAACCGGAGGATAAAATACAAAAAAGACTAGTCTTTAACTTTATTTATATATATATAAAAAAATCAATGACCTTGTGGTTCATTAATTAATATTTGGTGATACTGATACATCATAAATCTCCCATTAAAAAAAGAAAGAAATATCTTAAATGAAGAATTTTTGTCACAAAACTCCCCCACTAATAAAACTCATCAAGACAAAAGCCCATAAAAAACAAAAAGGAAATCAATTCGTTAAAACAGCTTTAAACAACGTAAAAAATAGATGAATGGTAGTCACGGAGAGAGGACAATTTAATAACCAGCAGGGGTTGATGTAGGTGTCGTCGAGGTGTAGAAGAAGGTCCTCATGGAGTACAGTTTTATTTTCTTGTCATGGAGAATGTGATAAGCTGAAAGGGGAGCACCGGTAATCCCATAGTTCATATCTGTTGGAACGTTGCAGGTTTTCAATGGAGAGCTTTCAAGGTAAGCCTTGCATTCTGTGAGCTTTAAAGCTGGCAATGTTTTGAAGTAGTAACCCTTTGCATTAGTTGCTTCTGTCAAGCAGGAGAAAGGGACTTTCTTGTAACCATAGTGATCCACAGCAGTACAGGCTATTCTTATCACAGCACCTACAAAAAACAAAAAAGTTTTTGTGAGGAAAATATAACAAAAGCTTATCATTGATCAGCAGCGTCTGTAAGAATAATAATACAAGCGAAACAAATGAGTACATTGAATCCGAGGAAGAATAAAGAGGGTGTAGAAATTACCTTCAATAGGAGTATAGTTAGAGCCCTGTTTGCAAAGGACAAAACCTTCTATGCCGATTGGGCTATACTTAGAGTCCAGTTTGTCATTACTTGGTTTTGGTTTGTATAACCTTGGTTCCGGGAGATTTGATTTTTGGGCATACCCATTATGTGGTGTGATAATCTCTGGCTTTGGTGTAGTTGACTTTGGTTGATCATAAACCTTTCCTTTCGGGTCGACATAACCATGATTGGGTTTTGGTACAGTCATCTTTGGTTTCGGAGGGTTTGGTTTTGGGACATATTCATAATTTGGTTTGGGAACAACTGGTTCTTGGTTGTAATCATAGTTTGGCTTGGCAGCGTCTGGTTTCGGTACGATCAACTTTGGTTTTGGAGCATATTTATAATTTGGTTTGGGAACAACTGGTTTTTGGTTGTAACCATAGTTGGGCTTGGCAGTGTCTGGTTTGGGTACGATCAACTTTGGTTTTGGGTGATTACCATAGTTGGGTTTTGGCATTTTCAATTTTAGTTTGGGAACATCTGGTTTTGGGTTATAACCATAATTGGGCTTCGCAGTGTCCGGTTTGGGGATGGTTGGTTGGCCAAGGTATGGTTTTGAGTCATACCCGTTGTCTGGTTTTGGTTTGGGGAGGGTTGGCTTAGGATTGGATTCGTAATATGGTTTGTGAAGGTCTGGCTGTGGTTTTGGGTCATAACTATACTTGGGTTTGGACGTATCTGGCTGTGGTTTTGGATTGTAAGTATAATTTGGCTTGGTTGTATCTGGCTTTTGTTCATAGCCGTAACCGCCAGCGGAGGCAATCACTGACAATGACAAGAGAAGGAATAAGAAGAGAAGGAATAAGGTGGCGGCGGAGGAATGGGTTAGAGCCATTGCAAAGAGGACAGGGATAGAGCTTTAGATTGTTGATATGGGACGCTACCATCATCATGGCCTTTTATAGGACTGATTGGTCGATTGGGTTGCTAATTTGAGAAATAAAATACAAAAAGAAAAGGGAGACTTGTACGTATGCACAGTAGGGAAGGAGGGGTGAGCAACGTGATGAGCAATACTGCTCCACCCAGGACACATTGCAATCCAGCATGATGGCTTGGACTTGGACGGTATTATATTCGGCATTTTTATTCAGGACGTGCCTTAATTTGCTATATATGTTGGAATTTGTATACTTGTAATTAACAGTTTCTGGATA